CTGTAAGTCTGTTACTCTGTTTCCATGTGGCTAAAGAGAGGACGCTAAAGAGCAAAGACTGCCTTTCTGAGCATGCATTTCACAGGGGGAGATAAAAAAGGAGCCACATGTCCAGAGGGTGAAGGAACACTGAGGAAAGGGACCCAAGGAGACAGACAGCAATCTGATGGTGCTGGCACAAGTCCAGAGTAAAGACTCAGAGAGGCAGGGCTTGGCTGGGTCTGGGGACATGTTCATCTTCAGTCATCAGGGAGAGTTCCTGATGACTGAGCCAGACCCAGAGAGTTGGAAGGACTGAGATTGGAGGAGGAAAGGCAGAAATTGGAGAGTATGAAAAAGAAACAGAGGCAAGAGAGGGCAAGATCTATGACCAAAACACCCTCCTTTTACTGGATGGTGGGGGTAGCGCAGGCAGGAGTTTCAGGAGAGTTCCAGAGAACAGGAGGCTAAGCTTCTGTGAATACTCTGGGGTATACCGTGTTGGCTGGAAGAGGACCGCTCTCACATGCTACAGAATGACTGGATCTGGGAGGGTAGGATGGAAGGAAGAAAGTACAGGACCTTCCAGAAGCTTGCAGGTGGTGCAGTAAAGGGGATCTGAGCTGCAGGCAAGGCTCTGGAATACAGGAGACTCCCCAGGGAATTTCCACAGAGACCCATTTGCCACCAGTGGGTCAGGTTCTAGTGTGGAATCTGGTACCTTCTTCCTGAGAAGCCAAAATGAGAGAACTTAAGATTTCTGTAGCTTCCCAAGTAGGGATAGGAGCATCAGTTTGGGTTGTTTTTGGTCTCTTTGGTTGGGGTTGGTCCCTCTGGTTAGGGAAGAGTGGAAAAAGAGGGCTTAGTCTCAGTGACATATTTGGCCTGCATTTCTACTCAGCAGTGATAACAGACTCCTAGCTGCACATACACACACTTACTTACCTCTGCTGCCCCCTACAATGCTAGTGTACCAATGCATTATAACATGCACCTGCACCATCACTGCTGATGGTGACAGAAGATTGCACCAGTTCATCCCCATGGTAACACCCTATCACTTCCTAGGTCATCCCTGGTTGACAGCAACACTTAGACACACAGACCATTACACAGAAATAATGACATATCCCCAGCACTCTTATATCTAGCATACTTTATATAAATGGGGTCCTCTGTAGTTGTACAATGTACAGTCTACACAGCTATATGAGGTACACTTGGCTTTATACCCAAACCCTAAATGCCATGCACTTAGCTCTACATGCATGTACACACACACACACACACACACACACACACACACACACGCCCTGCTGCACACTGACAATGACACATAGCACCTGAATCATTCCACATGGATACTGCATGGTCCCACTGATGGACACATACAAATGTACCATGGCACGCTGATGGGTTTGCCTTCACATTGCCTCATTCTATGTTGAAAGAAGCAGATGAGGAGTCTCACATCACATACCTGAGCTGTGACAGCACCTCAGCCATTGTGAATGACAAAGGGAAAGCACTCCTCACATGAGCAAGGTGCCCCAGAGTCTTTTTCTATGCTCCACCCCTGCAATTCTCTCTGTGTCTGGTACCTGGCCACCCTCTCAAACCAAGACCCACTCTGCCCCTCCAGGCTCAAGCTAGAATGGCAGGTTGTAGAGTCATTTGAACATTTCTCTGCACCCACCGGCAAAACACCAGCCCAGGTCAGGACCAGCCTATAAGCTCCAGAGCAGAGCTGATTCCCATGAATCCCAGACATTCCCTCATTGCCTGCATGGCATCCAGGGTACCCTTTACATCAAGGCAACTGTAAGGAAGAAACAGGCGGACCTTTGGATGGGTACCCTATATGAGCCATTCTCTTTGGTCACCACAGTCAGGGTCTATGACAGCTGACATTGTTCCTCAGTCCTCACACAAAGTACCAATATCAGCTCTCTGAATTGCTTAGTAGTGAACACTCAAAGCATATACATATCATCTGACAAATCAAACTCCCAGGGCTCATAAAAAGAAAAAGTAGAATTTCATCACCGCCAGGATAGACATCTTAAGCATAGCCACATCCATATTTTACAGGATGATTCTTAGAAGTTGTCTACAAAGCTCCTAAGCATGGACCAGAGCCTTTCACACACATGTGCTCATTGGCAACAGGCTGGGTTAGAGATAAAGGAAATGCTGGCAATATGGCATGGACACTTGGTACAAATTCTTGGTAGGATACGGTGTGTGTGTGTGTGTGTGTGTGTGTGTAAGAGAAACTGAGGGACACAGATGACTATAAATGTCAATGTTAAAAAAATCTACAGAGGAAAAGTTACATTTCCATAGGCTGCAGCACATGTGAGGAGAGAAGTGGTCCAGGGTAAGGCAAGCACTCAGTACTGAGTGTTGAAAATAAGAATCTGTGTTAATTAAATGAGAAAGGCCCCAGAGTTAGCACCTGAAACACAATGAAAGCTCAGATTGTTGTTATGATAAAGTGTTATGATGTAGCCTAACCTTTCAACCAGGTGAAGTTACCATTTGAATGAGCCGCCTTTCTATTGGCCCATCAGATTTTTGCATTTCTTATTGGCATGTACAATTTTGTGTGGATTCAAAGGAAGTTTTATCTGTTACCTGAATCATACTCTTGCCCCACTACTGTCTTCCAGATTGGAGAACCAATGGCCTCCAAGAAGCAACCATGCTATGGCTCCAATTGATAGGAGGCCCTTCCTCTTAAAGTCCACTTCCCTTTCCCTTTCCCTCATTGCCCTAATTCCACTTTCATCAATGGTAAAAAGCAGTTGTACTCCTCTTTCCTTGCCATAGTTACTTATCCATTTTACAAGCAATTCTTTAGCACCCATTTTTCCGAGCACTAACTAAACGCTGGAGTTACAAGTCAAGGAAGTGTTGCCAGTTCTCCAACACTAAATACCCCTAAGTATTCTCTCCTCCAGGTGAAATTCTTCCACCTCTCTTCATTTATTCTGATTTCCATATTCCTGCCCACACACAGCCCTCTTCTCCAGCTTAACAAAATTCATGTTAAAGTGTGGTGCCCAGAAATGTGTTCAGTATTTATTCTAAACCCTAAAGTGAATGTTCAGCCCAACTTGGTTGACATCCATATCAAAAGCAATGCCAACTGTGGAAAAAAACCCAACTGTAGCCAGAGTGCTACTGGCCAGGTCTCATTTACTGAGCATGTTGTTTAAAAACACAGAGAAAAGAGGGAGAAAAAAGAACAGAGGGGAATTGTGGCTCTTTAAATGACATGATGTCAGATATTTCTGCCCAGAACTCGCCTCAGGCATTAGTGGCAAGTCTAAGTCATTCTAATCAAACAGCACCCTTCTCCCCCTCCCCTTCAGTGCTGCCCTAGGAAATAAAAATAATAACAAAGAAAAAGCCTGCTATGCTGATGGGCCAACACAGTGCTAACTAGAGCGCTCAGAAGGGTCTTCCTTATGCAAAGCCCTCCTGCCTTTAAGAAGAGAACAGAGATGACGCTCCCAAGTGAGTGTCCCTGATTTGTGGGTATCTCTCACTGGAGCCCTCTCCTGTGAGCATACAAAGAGTAGTTCCTCCTTGTTGGAACAAAGTCACACTTCCATGCTCTTCTAGATCCTGTTCTTCAGCAGCTTTTGCATTCCCTCCCTGGAAGGAAGCCATCCTTTGCAGAGGCAGAAGTCATCTCTCCACTCTGTCATAACCCTGACTGATGCATAAACTCCTGCAAATCTTTGAAAGGCCTGACACAAAGTTCCTCCTGTTTCAAGCCATTTTCCTCCATGTTGGTCTGGATTACAAGAGAGTTGAGACCAGAAAGATGGCAGGGAAAATGCAGAGCCTCATTAGGTGAAAGTAACCAAACAAAAATGAGTGTGAGAGAAAGAAGAAAAGCTGGGGGTGGGAGGTGTTGTCCTGCCTCCTGGAGAACCCTTTCCTTCCCTCCCAGAGTGGGAAAGGAGCTGTCTCCTAGGGCAGCTTGGCCAGAGGATTCCTTCTTCACAGTATGACAGATCTAGAGGGGACTGGTGAGTGGATCACCTAAGATCTACTGCAGTTCTGCAGCAGACCTCTCCCTCTAGATCCACAGCAGAGTCTGATGCCTGCAGGAGCCTCGCTCGCACTATGCACTGGTTGTTCTTGAGCACTTATGTGGCTGGACGAGGATGACAAAAGTAAAGATGATCTGATGGTGGGTGGTCCTAGAGCTGCTCTCAGACAAGACACAAACAGACAGATCAGAGTGGCTGATGTAGGGGTCCCTTTAGGGGTGGCAGGAGTCCCCAAGAATGTGCTCATTCTGCCTGAAGGAATCAAAGGAGGGCTTTCTCGAGAAGAGACCTTTCAGTTCTGCCTTCTCCACTCGTCCCCCCCCCCTCTTCCAAAGCAGTAGCTTGTGATCCCTAAAGCTGTGGCCAGGACGCCGGGCTGCAGGAGGATTGAAGGGGGTGTCTGCGATGGGGAGAGGGGACAGTGAAAGGTTGAGCTGTAAAAGAGAAGAAAAAGAGAGGATGGGAGAGGTAGATGGGAAGTAGAGGGAGAGTGGAGGAGGAGAGGTAGGGAGAAAGAGAGAGAGAGAGAGAGAGAGAGAGAGAGAGATTTGAATTTCCCATCTGGAAGGGGAGCGGTAGCGCGTCAGGGCCTGGCTGAGGGGCGTGATTGGAGGGCGCCTTCGGCAGCCGCCCGCGGGAGCAGCCGTGGCCCCAGCTCGCTGGCGGAGTTACACGAGGCGGCGGCGGGAGCTGGAATAGAAGGAACCGCCTCGTTGAGTCGGGCCGGAACCCTGCAGTGGCTTAGACGGTTGCGGGGACCAGGTTGGTGCTGGCCGCGGGCCGGAAGGCGGAGCCGGGCTGCGGGCCACGGGGTCTCAGCTCTCGCCTCGAGGCTGCAGGGCAGCCCGGGAAGCCGGAGAGTGCGGCTTTCGGGGCGCTCCGGGAGACAGCCCGGGCGCCGGGGCGGGGGCGCGCGGCCGCGGAGCTGGTGCTGAAAGGACAGCTCCCGCGCCTCCAGGCGGGGCGGACCGCCAGGGCGCGCGCGTCCCGCACCGGAGACCCCTGCAGGAGCCCCCAACAGCCTGGCTCTCAAGGAACCGGGACTGCCCCGAATGCGGCGGGAGACTCAAGTCTGAACGCAGAGAAGAACTTCGAGCTCGCCGGGCTAGGGGCGGGGGACGTCGATCTTAGCTACTTCGCGCCGTGGTTAGCCCGAGCCGCGGGCCTCTCGGCCCGGGTGCAGGGAGCCGTCCCCTAGAGGTAGAGTTCGGGCTCCCCAGTGAGTCAGAAGCGGCGGGAGGGAGGGAGGCGAACAGACCGAAGCGGGAGGAGAGGAGCTCTAAATGTCGATTGGGGGTGCGGGGCCAAGGGGACTATTTGTCCGCTTCCCCGGAGGGCCCACGTTTGAGCCACACGCGCCGGCTCTCGGGGTCCTCTGGAAGGGTCTCTTCCGTGCTCGGCTCTCACTTGTCCCACTCTGCCCCCTCCCGGAGCAAAGTTTGCAGCCGGGCAGGGTCTTGGGGTTCAGCTTTGTGTACTGGGGGGACGGGGAGAGGGCTCTCAGTGGCCGATCGAGAGCTCGATGTAGAGGTGCTGGGCGTGTTGGTCTCGCGGAGGCCCCGGAGGGGCACCCAGATTCCTGCCCTGTGTTCTAGGGGGGAACGTGAAGCCCCCGCCGCGTCCACTTTGCTGCCCGGGCTGCCCTCTTCCGCCCGCCACGGCCCGTTTCCCTCCCCCAACGCTTCTCCTCTAGGGGCGTGGAGTGGAGGTGGGGGCGTAGAGGGACATCCCGCGTGTCTGCCACCGCCATTACCATCGAGTCTCCTGCAAAAAGCAAATGAGTGTCGAACTGAGTTGCGGGTGAATATATCCCAGACTTGAGTCAGAAAAACAGAAAAACAGCTACAAGGACAAACACTGCGGGTCCGGAGTTTTATCGTCAGTAGAGGGGGCCGAGTCCCCAAAACTGCCTAGGGCTCATTTAGCTAAGCCGTAGCAGGTGTCTCCGCTGCCTTTGAGCTGGGTCGGACTCAGAAGGAGTCCGGGAGGGAAACTGAAGACTTACTTGCCCTGGGTCCCGGGCGCGCGGGAAGCAGGGAAACCCGGGCTACAGTGGCACCCCTCCCCCTCTCCCTTCCTGCCTCCCCTCCCCCAGTCCAGCACCCTCACCACCACCACCACCCTTCCCGCGCAGGGACAGAGCAAGGCTTCCCGCAGAAGCGCTAAGGAGCGCCTCCTGGCGGCCTGGCCCAAATCCTCCACTGCAGGCAACCGGCCGGACCTGCCCACTCCTACAGACCCATGGCAAAATACCTACACACCCCAGCGTACATGCTCGCACGATGTCCAAATTCAGAGTGAAACGTCCAGGTTCGTACTGCGAACGCGTGTACTCGCTGGCTCTGACAGCGTTAAAATCGACCCTTCAACAGATCCTGAAGATGGACCTGTAGTGGATTCTGAGGACAGGAGAAATCTTGCCCTGAGAAGCTCTCAGAATGATTAGGAAGAGAAAGACATGCAGACAGATAAGGCATGAACTAGTGGCAGGCAATACTGCTCTAGAAAGTGCTATTGATCTTAGGAGATGAAGACACCTTCACATCTTGCCAGGGAAATCTGGAAATATAATGCTGTTGCTTCTGCTGCTGATGGTGGTGGTGATGGTGAGGATGATGGTGGTGATGGTGATGATGATGATCAGAGTTGCTATGAGCACTTACTATGTGCCAGACACAGAGTTGGTGAGAACTTTGCATTATCTCACTGAATGCTCACAACTGGCTCCCAGCATATATGTTACTGTCTGTCTCCATTTTCACATGAGAAAACATTAAGCCACTCACTCAAGGTCACTTAACAAGCAGTAGAGTCAGGATTTGCACCAGGAAAAGTGAGGCTGAGAGGTTCTCAGATTGGGGGAATCACATGCACAAGTGTTGGGGGTGGTAAGGAATCTAGAAAAGAAGCTAAGTTGAGGTTCGGTTCTAGCAGAGCCAGTGCAAAGGATGAGGAATGAAAGGCAATGATGTTAGATTATAAGGACTTGAAGGTCAGCACAAGGACTGTGTTCAGTCTAACAAGGCCATGGGGAACCACTGCAGAGTTTGTTTGCATGAGCAGATCTGCCCTTTAGGAAGATCAATTGGCCAGCTGTGTGGGGGATGGATACGGTAGGGGAAAGATGGTGTTAAAGGTCATGCAAAATTCGGGACCCCCAGGCCCTGAAAAAGGCATTAGCAACAATAAGAGAGAGGAGGGTGGGAATGTGGGAGCCACTGTGAAGCTACAGTCTCTCAGCTTCTCCCCCGAACCCCCATCCCAGTTGTACTCATCAGTTCCTGGTGATCTGCTATGCATGATCTGTCCTCCCAGCCCACCGAATGCTGTGAGAGGAAATGCTGAGACCTCCTTCTTCCCTGCCATAACCCAGTGCCCAGAATAGTGTCTAGCAGAAAACAGGTGATTAAGGAATACAGTATGAGTTAATGAAAGAGTGGATGGATAAATGACTGAGGAATTCACTGACGGGGGTTTTCACTTGAAGCAATTGAAACAGGAGATCCCTCCATCAAAAAAGCGATAGTTGGGGGCAGCAAGGATGAAACTGATCTTTGAACAGATTGAATTGGAGATGATCTGTATAACAATATGCAGCAGAGAATTAAGTATGCAGGTTCGGGGGAGAGAGAGATAAATGAAAGACAGACAGGTAGACAGAGGCACTAAATCTCTAGAAGTAGATGAGAATTCTGTGGGAGAAAAGGGGTGCAGTGAGAAAGGAGAATTTACTTAGAAAACACTTACATATTAATAGGAAAAGAAGGAAAGGTGCCAGTGAAGGAGGGAAGACCTAGATGAGAGGTAGAATGAAATCCGCAAGAGTGCTGTGTCACAGAACTCAGGAGTAGATTCAAAAAGGCTGAAAAAAATGGAGGGAGGCAGTCGGCAGCAGCATCTGATGCTATAGAAGGCGGAGGGAAGGACGGTAGTGAAAACACTTCGGGTCTGGCACCGAGAAAGCCTACTAGCAACTCTGATAGGGAAGTTTAGGGGTGGTGCAGAGGCAGCAGGTTTCTGGTCTCGCAGTGCAAGTAACTTGACCTGGAAGTGAAGACAAGGGGTCACGAAGTGTAGACCCTTCCTCACAACGCCAGGACAGAGACTAATGGGAATGCAGGGTTCAGGGGAGGAGTCGGAGAAGGGGGGGATCCAAGTGACCTATGGAGAGGACCCTGAAAATGTGAGGAAGAGGAGGGTGGTAAACAGATCAAGAATGAGGTGAAAAGAGAAAATTCAGAGCACAGGTAGCTGGACTGGGTTAAAATAGAAGGGGGAGAATTTCCTAAGACCTAGAAAAGGGGAGGTTTCAGAAGCTCACACCAGCTGGAATTCATCACGTTGATAACAGCCACTGTTTACTGAGTACTTGCCATGTGCCAAACGCAATGCAATGATTATTTCTAACCTTTCAAAGTGGAAGCTTAATAATCTTTTTATAGAGAAGACCTGGTATCAAACAGGTTAGGTCAGTTACCATCGCACAATTAAGTCAGTTACAGAGTCTGTATCTTGTCAGGCAGGCCTGGCCCCAAAGCACATGCCCCTTCCACTGCGCCCCAAGACAAGATATAAGAGGAAAGTCATATGCTGAGAAGGACGTCAGAGGTAGTCTTGGTTTTGAGGAATGAATAATTAGGTTAGGAGATTCTCAATAGAATAAACAAAAAAGATTGTTTAAAGCCAAAGATCACTTTTTAGCTTTTGGTTCAGATCAAATGCTTAACTGCTGGGATTAGGCAACAGGACTTTGGAGTAGACCCAAAAGCTTAGCTAAGTAACCCCAACAGGCTAAGTTATGGCCACCGTGAGAAATAGAGATATAAGCATTGATAAGATTGCTCTTCTTTCAGCAGATGGGCTTTGTAAATCTAGGAAGAGTTGGCAGAGATAATTGATGTTTGCTGGATAAATGCATGAAAGCAGAGGTGAAAGTCTGGTGGCACAGTGTTGGTGTGATGAATTCAAGTTGTGTCCACAGAACATCCGGGGATAGATATTCAAGAGAAGCCAAATGTATTGCTTTGATTTATTCACTGTTTGTGTCTCTACATACAAGTGTGAGCATGCACACACACACACACACATCCCACACTAGAACATAATCTGTGTGAGGACAAAGTTTAATTCACCAATATTCCTAGCACCTAACAGATCAACTGGTACATACTAGGTGCTGAGTTAATATTTGTTGATGAATGTTTAAGGTGATCTGGAGCCCAGATAAGAGGTCTAGGTGTCGCAGCATCAGTGGTCCTTAAAACTCCTACAATGGAGGAGTTCCTCCGGGGAAAATTTAAAGAGGAAAAAGAGGGAGGGTCTGAGGTCAGGATCTTGAGGCATAAGCTTATGTGAGAACAGAAAGCAGTGGGTCCAGTAAAGGAAACAGAGAAGGGAAAGGAAGGTAGGAGAGGAAGCGGGAAGGGAGGGTACAATGGGAGATGGAGGTAGAGGAAGAGCAGTCATACTGCCAAAATAAGAGAGGCGTTCAAGGATACAGTGGGGAAGTCAGCCATGCTGCAGACAATATAAATCCTGGAGAAAGGGCTGGGACATCAGCTGGCCATGAAAGAGACTTGCCAGCGTCATGCAGCAAGTCAGGGACAAATCTGACACTACGCCAGGTGTCCTGACTACTCATGGGAAACACCTCAGATTAGAGTCCTGCATCTGCCACCACCAACGGCTAATTCCTTGAGCTCCATGTATATGTTGAGAACGTACTCAAGAATTCCTGAAATCACTTGATTACATTGCTCATTTCCTGATCTTAGAATGAAGTTGTTTCCCAAGGCCTTAAAGCAATTGAAACCATCTTGACTGAACTGCACCATCTTCAAACTCAGATTTCTGGGTCAGGATGGGTTCCCTAACCTTTCCTTGAATGCTTGAATGACTTTCTTTTTTAGCCTAAATGTAATCTACATAAAGAGATAATGGGCAATGAGTCCTTCTGTACCACAAGTACTTGATCAGTATCTCTTCTCCTTCATGTGTCAGTACAAGATAGCTTTAATATTCCCCCATTTTGCAGGGAGTAAACTGAATCCTTCCCAGGAACTCATAGACAGTAAGTACTAAATCTAGGATTCTAAACCAGTTGGGCCTGATGCCAAAGCCCCCGAGAATATTTTCCCCATCATGTCATGATTTTCTCTAACCCAAAACAACCAATCAAGAGGTCTGATCATACAGATAAGCTCCTGGTCCCCATGCTAGAAAAACCTCAGCTTGCCAATAAGACTTCTCATTTTGAAAGAAATGGGAAAAGTCCATCCATAAAGAGCCATAAAGTCCTTGAACTAAACCTGGTTGTAATATTCAGCTTGGCTTTTCGGCCATGATTTCCCAGGATTCCTTTTTTCCTAGCAAATCATAAAGACTCCAAGGCCTCGAGAGTAGGCCCAGCCTCAACTGACCACTAAAACACATTATACTTTGAGCAGCCCGTGGTTGTCTCATTCACACATAGTGGCCTTGTCTGTTCAATGGTCACTGAAATTAGTGATTAAAATAAACATAAACTGTCTGAATGAGAGCACTGTGAGGGGATATGGTAAGAAAGGCAAGGGTGAAATTTCCAGGGCTCGATCTTTCCTCTCCTCGCCGTTACTATTGGAAGAGTTCCATTTTTACATATTTTGCATACTGAGATTCCTATTAAGATTTTATTTGGATAAAGTCTTCTGAGGCAAAAGTACAACAATAAAAGATAATAAAAGCTGAAAGTTGGTGATTTAGAGAGAAGGGACACTAGCAGAGCGCCTACCGCAAGCAATGCTAGGTATTTTGAAGGCCCTAAGCTCCAAGAAGATTATGTTTCCAATACCCCCCATGTGTAATTCAAAATAAAAATCAATATTAAACTACAAAACAAAATTTACTTGTATGCTGCAATAAAAATAACTGATTTCTCCATTAGTCTCATTTTCACAGTCTGGGTATGCTCCTCCAAGCCTACTGTTCCCATTTCTCTATGCACCTGATTTGCTGGGGCCCTAAGCACAGGCTCAGTCATTATGGGTTCACCCAAGGGCCTGGACAGATTCTTTCCAATCTCTGCATTAGCTCTGGAAAAAGCTCTGTCATTTCTGCCTTAGACAGGGGGAAACTGCAGGCTTAGAGGTTAAGCGGTTTGCTGAAGATCATAACAAACAAGAGTGGCATAAAAACACAGCTCTGCCTGACTCAAAATTCCAGGCTTATTCCAATACTCCTGGCTTTGATTAAGTTAGAACACTATGGTCAAGATAAAGGCTTTCAAATAGAGATCAAAAGGTGTTTGGCAGCACACGTGTTCCTGGTACACAGTGAGTGTTCAATAAACTGCTGCCTCCTTCTCGCTAGCCTCAGACTCCTGGTCTCCCATCTGCACCAGATTGGGTCCCCAGGGTGTGGGACCCTCCCTGGGCAGAGAGACCTCCCCATGTGATTCCCACCTCCTCTTTTGCAGGTTGAAACATCTCTCCCAGCCAGGCCAGCCAGGAGCACAGGGTGCTAAGTCAGCCGTGGGCTAAGGCAAGCTAACCAGAGCCAGCAGCATGGACTTCGTCATGAAGCAGGCCCTCGGAGGTGAGCCCAGCACCACCCTCCCCACACCATGGTCCCCCAAGTTGGGGGTTCTGACCAAGATAGAAGGGGACCTCAGCTCCTCTGTCCCGTCTTTCCAATCCTGTCCCCTACATGACCGTGCCCTTTTCTTCCCTACACTGCCCCCATAGGGGCCACCAAGGACATGGGGAAAATGTTGGGCGGAGAGGAGGAGAAGGACCCTGACGCACAGAAGAAAGAGGAAGAGCGGCAGGAGGCTCTGCGGCAGCAGGAAGAGGAGCGCAAGGCCAAGCACGCACGCATGGAGGCCGAGCGTGAGAAGGTCCGGCAGCAGATCCGAGACAAGGTCAGCATCTCAGGAGGGGTACACTGGTGCCCTGAAACCCAGATCTCGGGCTTCCCTGGATCCCAGCTTTCACCTTAGACCTAGTACTCTCTGAGCCTCACTCTTCTTATCAGAAAAATGGATCCTTCAAAAGATAACTATGGAGATTAAACAAAATAATGCAAAGAGTGCTTCAGGTCCAAGACCCTTAGGGCCAGACATGTGTGAAATGCAGAATCTGTGAATGCTAGAGAAAAATTCTCTAGTGCTCTGAGCTCCTGGTACTATTGTTAGACATCACTCCCTGTGGTTGTGGGGCTGCCACCTATGCCAAAGAGTTCAGTGCATGTCTGGGAGCATCAGGCAACAAATCAAGACTAGAGGTAGTCTTTCACTGGCTCAAACCTAGGCTTGCCACCCAAATTTGACTCCAGACCCATGAGAAAGCTATCAGTGTTTAGATCTTTGGGATTTCAAAAGAGCAACAAGCTGTTAAAGAAAGGTATAAAGAAAACCCCAGTCACCATCTCTATCTCATTAATCACCTACTAAGGACCAAGCACAGAGATGGTACCTTTAACCTCACTTTATAGATGAGGAGACTGAGGCTCAAGAAGTGTTCATGAGCCACATCAAACACATATGCATGACGCAGAGAGCCAGCTCTCACCTTACCTCTGTGCACTGTCATTCCTTTCTGTCCTCCCTTTCCCCAGTATGGGCTGAAGAAGAAGGAGGAGAAGGAGGCAGAGGAGAAGGCAGCTCTTGAACAGCCCTGTGAGGGAAGCCTGACTCGGCCCAAGAAGGCCATCCCTGCAGGCTGCGGGGACGAGGAGGAGGAGGAAGAGGAGAGCATCCTGGACACGGTGCTCAAATACCTGCCTGGCCCACTGCAGGACATGTTCAAGAAGTAATGGGCGCTCTGGCTCCAGCCTCACTCCACTTGTTACTTTTTTTTGTTCTTTCTTTTCTTTTTATTCAGTTAAGTCTCAATTCTGAAGGGGAAAACCTCAGTTGGCCTCTGCCCCCCTTTCCTGGCCAGGGGCTTCTCCCCCTCAGCACTCTCTGACACCCCACTTCATCCCAGGGTATCAAGTCCCAGCCTCCTCCCAAGTACAGTAGTTCGAAAAAGGAAGACAGCTTTTCTCCAGCAGGGGGCATTGAACCCAGGGCCAAAGGCACTGGAGGACTCCCCTGAAACCTAAGGTCTATGCTAGTGTGGTAACCCCCATATATTCCTTCATGCTCCCCACTGCCAGGAGGACCACTGTCCCCAGCCAGCCAAAGTAATGACACATTCCACCCCTGCCCAGCATGCTGGCCTTTAGCCTCTGACCCTCTAGTGGGTCTTCAGGTCAGGGCAGGGGCACTGACGGGCCTGGCTCTGAAGAGAATAGGGTAAGCCTGTCTCATGAGGACCTAGCCTGAGAGGCCCCAGGTCTGGACAGGCTAGGAGCTGGGCAGGAGGCTGGGGCTCTTCTTCCCTGTCCCTGGTGACACCCAGCCCATCCCTCCCCAAAACCCATCCAGAGTGGCATGGCCCCTGCTAGGCTGATCCCACCAAATGGATCATCTTTGGACTTTAGCACATCTGTGGAGGAGCCCAGAATAGGGCAACCCCTTGTTCCCTTTCACTCCACTTAAGTCCTGGGACCCCACTGCCAGGCTGGGCCCAGCTCACCCAATCTAGGGGCTGTCCAGGCCCCCAGAAACACTTGGAGCCATCGGGCAGTGATGGTCTATGCCATGGGATTCCCCTTTGGTGTGACCAAGCTGCCCCCATTCCTATCCAGCCCTTTTACCCACTCTGTCCTGTCCATGTGCTTCCAAGGCCCCATGGTCCCCAAGAGGACCCTTCCTGGCCAAAGCCCCAAGTTGTTGGGGAGAAGCCAATTCCCATTTGATAGAAAGGCATCTGTCCATTCATCTCAGTGGCCAAGAACAAACTCTCCTCTGGGATGTATGGGGCTGGCATTTGCCCCCCAGCCACCTCCAAATTGCCAATGCCACCTACTTAGCCAGTTTTATGAGAAAGATGTGGGGCAGAAGGGAGTAGAAAATGAAGGAGGAAAGTGAACTTATGTGTGGCATAGTGTGTAGTAGAGATGGCATCAGCAGTTGTATGTCCAGAGATTTTATGCATGTTTGTGTGGTTGGAGTGTGGTGTATCCTGAGATGTGCGTGTGTGTGCTAGTCACCTATCTCCACGTTAGAGGTTATATATGTCAGGCAGCCTTGTTATGTGTGCTTGTTTGAGGTGGTATTTTTGATTGTGTCCCCTTTGCTAGCCATCTCATATGTGTTTAGAGATTGCATGTGTTAGCTTGTATATGCATGTGTTTTCAAAATGGCATGTGTCGGGAGACATGGATTTATGTTAGATGTCACAGAAGTATATGTGGGGAGAATTCCCAGGCGTGTTGACTGTCATGTTCTTAGGTATGGGTCTGAAAAAGCAGTTGTGTCCATGGATGTGTGTTCAGAGAGAAAGAATGTGGGTAAGATGCTCCCTCTCAGCTCTCAGACCATTGTTCACAGGTGGCCACATCTGACAGGAGACTTTGTCCTTCGCCTAGAGTCCTCCCACCCTTGGGGGGTTCCTGCCTGAGGAATTCCACTGGGACAGACCCAGGCAGTACTCCAGGAAGCCATGCTGGGCCCTCACCAGGGCCTATCCCAAAAGCAGGGGCCAGGGAGGGGGCGACTTGCCTGCCCCTGAAGCCCCTGCCCCATTCGTCCCAGTTCGCATTCTGCAGGTTTTCCATTTTAGTGGATTTATGCTTTTATTTCAGAGAGACACGTGTGTCTTCTCTGTCCGTTTCCAATAGTTAAAGCCATATCAGTTAGACTGCAATACTTTAAAGATGAGACAAACAATCCATATGTTTAGGGAACCAGAAACGTATCCTGATCTGTCCCTTCTCTGGGGAGCAGGGCCCTGGCAGCTCCAGCTTCCTGGGCACATCCTCCTCCCCCACTCCCCACCATCCCTTTGTGCCCCTGTGTCAGGCTCCTCAAGGGGCTATGTCTGTCTGTGCCTATGTCTGTGATGGGGAGCCACCTCGCACCCCTGATGTCTGCTTGTCTGTGTCTTTTTACTTGGGTGGGATGGTCATTCTCAAGAGCCCTGGGGTCCTGGGCCAGAGACAAGCAGGGCTCAGTTGAGAGGTTCTAGGTTTTCCCAATCCCTGCCCCATGGACCCTGTATGTGGGTCCATCTTAGACACAGAGGTAAATACCAATATCAAGACAGGTCTCTCCCTTGACAGGGACCCTCAGACCTTGAAGGCAATGCCAGAGCCTAGAGTGCTAAATTAGGTGGCAGAGACCAAGGCTAAGGGAGCTGTAAAATGAGCAAGTGTACCTCGACATTCAAGACATCCCAGTCCCTTAGACAATGTCCCTGTGGTCTCCACAGCCCCTCTGGACCCCAGAGTGGGCTTTGGGCTTTTCAGCCTCCCCAAAATGGCATCAGCTGGACTGGCTTAGTCCGAGTACACCTCCTAGACTTCTCCACCCTACTCCCAAGCAGCAAAACCTGAGGTCTTCCTGGAGGTTCAGGCAAGGGCAACAATCTCTGCTTGGTGCATCCCTGCCTCCCCCACTGGCAAGTGATCACTGTCAGACCCAGGGGACACAGTTACTTTCATTTCTAACACAGACCTGACTGTAGGGAGAAGCCAAAGTGTAGCCCGGAGAGGATGTCTGTGTGCAACATACTCATAGGGGGCAAAATAGACAGATGCTGTAGCAGGGACAGGGTGTCCAGGTGATGTATCTGGGGTGTGAGGTGTATGTGGCCACTGGATGGGAGGAGGAATGTGCGTGTCACACAGAACAGTGTACATGTGCACACCAAGAAGGGGAGAAGCTCCAGGATTCAGCGCACACACATGACACACAAGGGAAGATAATTTTTGGTAAGTGGCTGAGAACCAAATGAGGTGCAACAGCATGCACCACCATGTGTGCTCTTGGGCACAGCCCCCCGGGCTGCTCCTGTCCCTGGGATTCTCCCCCAGGGAGAAGGAAGGGGGCTTCTCTGAGTCTCCCTGTGCTGGGCACTGGCAATAGGCCAGGATTTCCAAACATGGATGACCTCTGCTTCAGGTCCAAAACTGCCCTGAAGGGGTGTCCTAACAACTGACCTGGCTATGTGCATCTTCAAATGGAAGCAGGATGTCAAGAGAGCATCCCAGGTGTGCATGAGACTGAGAAAGTGAGAAGAAGGGGGAAGAGCTAGAGGTATTGCAGCCCAGGGCTCCTTCCGAGTGGCACAGCTGGTGGGCAGAGCAGCCATGTGGGGCTAGAGTAAAGTGGGGGACTTCCCAGGCCCAAGAGGAGGGTTTCTAATCCTCACAGGAGGGTTCCACAGGCTTCTGACTGCACAGGGAGGCTGAAGTCAGACCAGGTCCAATGAAGGGCATCTCCCAGGTCTGAGGACATGCCTCCCACCCAATGTTCTTATTCCCGTCTCCACTCCTGCTGCCTCTACCCTCTTCACTGTGTAGAGGACAGCAGGTGCTCTCGCTGGCCCTGGGGCAGGGCTGGGGGTCCCACTGAGACCCGGGAGAGATGGACCATCCTGCTCACACGGGGGAACCATCTTCCCGCAACTGTGCTGTGTCTTTGTTGCTCTGCTTCTTTTAAATGTGTCAGTGCCTGGGGGGAGGGGAGGGCCACCCCCTCATGTCCCCCTGAACCTGACCTAAAGCCATGGCTGTTGCTCCCCACCCCCTTTGTATGATGCAAATGCTAAGATGTACAAAACCAACCATGACAACAAAGAAAAAGACCTTGTACAGCTGCTCTGTGTGACTGCCCTCTTCTGTCTATCGGCACTGCCAGGGATAAAGAGACATGACCTCACCAAAGACTCCAGAAAGATCTTCCCTTTTTCCTACCCAGAACACTGAAAATGACTCCAAAAATCAACTGAACCCAGGGTTGGAGTTGGGTCCCAGAATTCCAGGGTCACTCCATCTCCCTATGTCAACTCTAAAACTCCAAAAGCTGAGAGACAGGTACACACACACATGCATGTGCACACACACAGTGTTTCTAACCATCCCCAGGGTGTTAGGTGATAGGACATCACCAATGCCATCCACAATGCCATGAAGTCATATGGGAGGACAAAGATCTATCACCCTGTGAACACTGATGGAGCATCATCTCTGCAAGACCCTGCGCAGGAGGCTGAGGTACACAGAGGACACTACTCTGCATTCCTCCTGGACACAGACACTCCCCTGGCCTTGACCATATCAGAGCTCCCTTCCACTTTGCACCCCCAACACCTTTTCTGTAGTTAGGCCTCATTTCTCTCCACTTCCCACAGGTATGCACTGGTCTCCCACATACTGGTTGACCTCTTTCATCCATCCTCCATTGGCCCAGCCCCACCTGCATTTATCTAAAATGCAGTTCATCATATCACTCACTCCCTGCCCAGCACCCCACAATGGATGAAATTTGCTAAGCACATAACATCCAGATGGTCAAAACAGCCCTGCATGACATGACCCTGACCCGCTTGTTCAGACCAACACCCAGCTTGTTGCTCCAAGTGCCCCAGTCTCCACACATACTGTACTGTATCACATGTGCAGATTGTTCTCTCTGCCTGGAATGAATGGTACCTTTCCTCTCCTTGACACTCTCAAACTTCTCAAAATCCAGCTCAATGGCACCTCCTCTGCGAAGCCTACCCTCATACAGTCTCATCCCTTGATCACAGTATAGTTTGTCGCTGCTCATACCTAACACAAAGCATCACAGCTGACAGCTCTGACAGCCCTGGGTGTGTGGAGAGGCTCTGTCACCTAGAAGAGTGAGCTTGATCAGAACGTTTAACCCCTGTGGGTGTTCACTTATAAGTGAAGTGAAATATAATAATTACTATGAACACATTTATTGTGAGGAGCAAATGGGGTCCTCCATGCACATGTTTATCACTAGGTATCAAGCACTCAGTGAATGCACTTTGAAAATTCTATTGTAAATTAAGTCACTGCACCTGTCTCCCTAATTTGAGCATTCTATAAGGCAACATATATTTATTATCTCAGTTTCTGTGGGTCAGGAGTCTGGACACAAGCTTAGTTGGATCCTGCATGTCAGGGTCACTCACAAAAGTGCAGTCAAGTGGAGACCAGAGCTGGAGTCTCATTAGAAGGCTTATTTCCAAGCTATGTGGTTACTGGCAGGAACTCCAGTGGAACTGGCAGTTCTACTGAGTTGGAGGAACGGGAAGCTTCAGTTCCTCGCTGGCTATCCAACTGGTGACAATCCTCTGCTCCTTGCCCTATGGGCTCCTCCACTGGGGCAGCTCAAAATATAGCAGCTTGCTTCACTGAAGCCTACAAGCCAAAAAGGTTGAGAGAAAATCTGCTACCAAGATGGAAACCACAATATGTTATATAACCTAACTACAGAAATGATGTCCTATCACCTTAGTCACAGATCCTGCCCACACTTAAAGGGAAGGGGTTACAAAACACTGAATATCAGGATGAGAGACAATTGAGAGTCCTAGAAGCTGCTCTCCACTGAAACTGAGCTAAAAGTCTCCCTTCCCTACAAAGTGCTGGAGCTGAGAAGGAACTCAGAAGCATCAGAACTCCAACCCTCTGCAGTCACAGGGTTTCAGGTGGTAGAGGAAGCATCTTCAATACAAGGAAATGAGCCACTGATGAGTGAGTTCCCCCAAGGACCAGAGGCCTTCCAACACCAAAGACTAGAGGGAAAGAAAACACTAAAGACCGTGGGGTTTCTGTGGAGTCCATCTATATTGTCTGCCCAAAACTTCAAATACTGTCTTTCAGAGATTCGATTCCCTCCTCAGTAAACAACCCAAACCAGAACACCCATCAGCTCCCACTTCCTCCATTCCACTGAGTGGGTCCCAATGCACCCTGTACCCTCATGTCATGAGGTGAGGTAGGCAGATTGGAGGGATTCATAGGAAGACAAATTAGCATGTTGGATGTTGGAAGCATGGAAGAAAGAGATGTGTGAACCAATATCTGCTTTGAGGGTACCATTCTCCAAGATCTGGAACTTGGATGGGGGACAGCTTTGGAGGAAGATCAAGAATTTGGGGCTGCTGGATGTGAAGTATCTGGGGAAGTGCAGTAGGCAATCTGTGCTCCACACTGGCTCACCCAGGAGAAGCCCAAATAGCCCTTCACATGGGCTACCCTCTACATGGGATAAGATTGTGACCACTGGCTCACCATAAGTTCAAAACACCTGGAAGTCAAGAAAATAGGGTGGGAAGGGGATTCAAAATCAAATCGTTCCTCCCATGCAATTCAGAGATTCTTTCTGTGCCATCTTTGGTAGAGGACACTCTCCTGCTTGCATGCCCCATAGTGTCAGAAGGCTCATTCCAGCCAGATAGCTCTCGATCCTAAACTGAAAGCCATCAGGAGGTAGAGGGTTAATGAACCCTCCTCCAGCATCTCTCTTAATTGACTGCAAAACTCTGCTTCCAGACCACTCACTTAGCACTTTTAATTAATTGGGGTTTCTTGCCTGATCTGAGAAATGATTCGATACCCCCTGAGGAATAGGTTTTCTCAGTTGGGATTCTCTAGCTGGAGATATCACTACACACCCAGCCTCTCCACAGGCACTGACCTGGGTATGCAGACACCACCCTTTCCTCCTTGTATGAGGTCAGACAGGGCACTTGCCAGCTCCAAACATAGCACCAGCAAATGGTACAGGCTCAGTAGGTGGCATCAGAACCGGTGTCACCACCTCCTTGGACTCCAGACCCACTTCATCTACCCTACCTGGAGAAGGCCCAGTGATCACAGCTGTTGGCTACATCAACTCCTTGTTCCTCTCATTGTAAGAGTCACTTGACATAGCTATTCTTTATGAAGGTTAAGGCAGCCCATATTAATATACATAAGGAGAGAGAGGGGGAGGGAGCGCTACTCACCACCTGCTGTGTGCCGTACACAAAAGTTAATTGCTTTAAAAGCATTACCTCTCTTCATCCTGATAGCAGTCTCTCAGGTCAGTATTGTTCTTGTTCTACATGTGAGGAAGCTGAGATTTGGAAGAAGAATACAGTGGGAATGAGCTTTCAGTTCAGACAAACCTGGTTCTGAATAATGATTTTATCTGATCTTCAACCCATGCCTCAACTGTTTTGGACCTTAGCTTTGTTATCTATTTTTTTAAAAAAGCATTATAATGTCTAACACCACCACCACTACCATCAAGGTAATTGAAGAAATTAAATAAAATATCTGTAGATCCTAAATCAGTGCCTGGCATGTCATGGTCTTGTAAAAATTAATAGCCATTGATATTGCAATGGCATGTCTGGTGAAGAAAACTAAGAATAGAAGGAGAGGAAAGGAAGGAGAAGAAATGAAAAGGATAAAAAGAAGAATTAATTATAGCAAAATCCCTCTCATCAGCCAAAGAGTAAATTAGGAAGCCTAGATTTGAAACTAAATCTGTCTTTTGTCTTTTCAGCGTAACACAAGACAAGCTGTGAAGTAAGGGTCACAGAGAGTTAGAGGACAGAAGGGAATAACTGTCTCCTTCTGGAAGCTCTCTTGAATCTTAAACTCAAAATAGACTTCACAATGTGTAGTAGTTACACACTGCATAACAGATTACCCCAAAACTTAGTGATTTCCAGCAGTAAGTATTTAATTTTTTCTCATTGTTTCTGTGGGTCACAGTTCCTGGTGTTGGGTCAACTGGATAGTTCTAGATTGGGGTCCATCATGAAGTCACCAGCAAGCTGGTAGCTGGAGCAGCAGTCTCATCTGCAGATTCAGTTGGGCTGGAGGTTGCGCCTCTGAGGTGGCTCAGTCCTATTTCTAGCAGCTGATGCTGGATATTGACAGGAGACATCCTTTCTGGGGAAGTCTCTTTGTAGAACTTGTTGAATGGCCTCCCAGTATGACAGCTAGTCTCCCCAGAGTGGGATATCCAGGAGAACAAAGCAGAAGCTGCAATGTCACTTGTGACCCAGATTTAGAAGCCACAAGTCAAGTCAAAATGCCATTAGCATACCTCACAGATATAGAAAAATCATTCCTAAAATTCATCTGGCACCAGAAGAGACCTAGAATAGCAAAGGCAATTCTGGGCAACAAAGGCAAGGCAGGAGGCATCACAATCCCTGACTTGAAGTTATACTACAAAGCTGCTGTGATAAAAATCAGCATGGTACTGAAATAAAAACAGACCTGAAGATCAGTGGAATAGATTAGAGGATACAACCACAACTACAAACACATTCAGCCACCTTATCTCTGACAAAGGGGCCAAACACATTCACTGGAAGAAAGATAGCCTCTTTAACAAGTGGTGCTGGAAAAACTGGCTTTCCATATGCCTAAAACTAAAACTAGACCCATGCCTATCACCATGCACTAAATTAAAGTCAAAATGCATCAAAGATCTAAATATTAAAACAGAAACACCAATCTGATGGAAGACAAGTAGATATAAATCTTGAAGAGACAGAGTCAGCAAAGAATTCATGAATAAAACTCAAGCTGCACAGGAAATACTTCCCAGAATCAACAACTGAGATCTCATCTTATTAAAGTTTTGCATGTCAAAAGAAATCTCCAACACAGTGAAAAAAAAAAAAACCCTACAAATTGGGGGGAAAAATCTCAGTCAACTGTCCCTCAGACAAAGGACTTCTATCTAAAACATATAAAGAATTTTAAAAAATCAGGCCCCTGAAATTCAAAGACTCAATTCAAAAATGGGCATCTGAGATAAATATATACTTCTCAGATGAAGAAGTACAAATAGAAA